TTTATTTCTTTTCGAAAGAAAATTATTTTTCAATATCCCCAAATTCAATAAGCCTAAAAAATAAGATTCATAAACTGAATCTATTTAGCAGAATATTCAATTGATTTATACTGAATTTTTATGGTTCCTTTGTAAATTTCTTTGGGTTATTTAGTTGACTATCGACTTTTTTATAAAAAAAAAAGAAACATGGAATAATAATGTATAAAGTTACATTTTCTTGGCTTACATAATATTATTTATTTTTAACTATTTATTTTGTTATATACGTACTTACATATTTTATAAAGTGTTTAGGCTCTATAAACAACTCATACTTGCATTTATATAGCAAGAAAACAAATATATCGTAACATTGGCATAAAAATACAAGATAAGAAATCAATAGAATATAAAAAACATTAATAATAAATAAAAATATTATACAAAACACACGGGGTTTCTATAATATGGCCCAATACTTTTAGTTCAATAAAGAATTACATTATTATAAGAAATCGGAAATATCTTAAGCAAATGTAGACAAATCAATGTTATTTATTTATACACATTCAAGTTTTAAAAAACAAAAAGATTGTAATGCTACTTTAAATTCATACGTAAAATTTTATTCTATAAAATATGGAGCAATTATTTTTTTGAATCGCAGCAGTTTACTTTCAGGTTGACCATCTTAAAGTAAATAGAAAAGAAAGCTCAAGAAATTCTGAATTTTTAATTTACAAATCAGCTAAAACTTATAAAAAATGTATTAATAATATATTAATATATAAAATTTAAATATTTAAATATAAATTATGGTAATTATTTAATTACCATAATTCTTAAATATTAATTTACTACATCTCATGATTGCATAATTTTTACCACCATCTTTCAATAAAGGAAGTTGATTTCTCAGAAAGATCAATTTTTATTCCTTTAATTTTTATATTCATTTCCCATATTAAAAGCTATAAAATGTGATAAAAAGAAAAATCGTGATAAATAAAAAATGTTCTTTTATAATCGTAATACTCTCTTAAAAAGTGCTTTATTATGTCATCAAATTATAAAATATTTATTTAAACAGGTCATTGACATTGACGAAAAGGTGCTTCAAAATTCTACAAAAATTTTAATTTTAAGAATATTTAATAATTTTGGGAGAAAAATTAAAATCAATATTTTTGCTTAAAACAAGTTAAACTTGTTAAAAAAAATTCTTAATATTAAAAATGAATAAAAGTTCTAATTTAAATTTCTTTCAAACATCTAAGAATAACAACCACTTAAATGAATATGTACATAAATTAATTTCCAATATATAGTTTTTACTTATGGTGGAAAGAGTACCTACCAGTTTATCAAAATTATTAAATTTTTATCGTTTATTTTTTAATTAATTTATAATTCGTCGCTTATATACAAAATAGCTTTTTCTTATTGGTTTTTGTCTCAATCGTTTATATTACGCGGTTTTTTTTATGCTTGCATTTTGAATTTTTTTTTTTTTAAAGTCAATTCTGTCTAGTCATTTTCGTTTTAAAAAATGATTAATTAATTACACGAAATATATGTATCTATCTAATATATATATTAATAAAATATATGTATGTATCTTCTTCGTTGCTAAATTCAATAATTTCTTAAGTATATTTTCATTTATTAACAAGAATAAAATAATATCTTAAAATTAAATTTAATTTTAATCTAAGTAATTTTAGCAGCAGTACGTTCATACCTATTTGGGTAGAAAATTTTAAAGTAAAATAATGCGATAATTAAAAATTTTTAAGTAAAAATTATCTGTCAAATCAAAATATAATTTTGAATTTTTAAAAGAACAAAAATTTGTATTAAAAGCGGCAAATTCTTGTATTTATTAAAAGAGGGGGTTAAATACCGAATTACAAAATGTGATTAATTTTTGCGCCAGTAAGAAGTACGAATTTACCAAAAAAACACACCTAATATTTGGTGGAATATTTCATACATGTATAAAAATATTAGTAAATATTTGTAACTTTTTCAACAATTAAATAAATTTAAAATCACGAAATTGAAAAATTCTATACTTAACAGTTTAAAATTTAAAATAAATAATTTTAGTAAATTTTCTTTTTTTCAATAATAATAATTTTTAGCATTTAATTTTACAAAATTTTTAAATAACAATCAACAGTAATTAGAATAACACTTAAAATTAAATAGAAGAGACAAATGTTTGCGCACTTACAAACACATAAGTATTGAAATTAAGATTTATCATCTGAACACTTTTATAAATATGTAGCCTACATACGTATACCTGATACTTATATTATATGGTACCTACAGATATGGATAATAACGTAATAAATTTGTATTAAACGTGACATTTTTAAATCGCACGAATATTAAAATAAATTAGATAAAACTATAAAGTTTCTTTAATTTTTTTAAATTTACATTTAATTAGGTAGGTACTTACAGTTAAAATCTAAAATTTATGTTTCCTTTACAGAGTCTTTTTTTAAATAATTATAAATATTTAATTCTAAATTTTCCATTGATTTATACGTTAAAATATTAACTTGCCTTTGCATTGCCACTATTACAAAAAAATTTGCCTACTTATTTCTGAGAAAATCAAATTCTTTAAAAATAGATTCATTTTTACTTAATTACAATGAGTTTGTCATTTTGAAAAAAAGTTGAAAGAGCACAAATCATAATTTGAATTTTAAAATTTTTTATTTTTTTTGAATAAAAAGAAAAATTAACACAATTATATTTCATAATTTTTGATACTCATGTAATGAATATATTCACATACCTAAAAAAAATTTTTAGTAAAATATGGAAAAAAAAGATTCTCAAAATTTATCAATTTCCTGCAATAGCAATAACGCAACCGTGAATTGTAATTCATCAGAAAATTATGAAAATTCATGCAGAGACCTGGTAATATTTGTAAATATTTTCGAAATAGCAGAAAAATATCAAAAAAATCTACAAATTAATCAAGAAACACAAAAATTATCAGAACATCAATCTTCATATATTCAAGAACCAATACAAATAAATAATAATAATGAAAATTCTATTCAAATTTCCATAGAAGAAATAGAAAATCCTGTACAAGCAAAATATATAAAATCTTATACATCTATTAATTCAATTGATTCAATCAATACATTTAATTTTATGCGTTCTATAAATTCTTTTACATGTCGTATTTGTCAAATATCTGAAGAAAATGGAGAACGTCTTATTTCACCATGTCGTTGTAAAGGTACTTTAGCTTTTGTACATAAAAAATGTCTTGAAAAATGGTTAAGTGTATCTGGCAAAGTATCATGTGAACTATGTAAATATAAATATAAAACTAAAACCATATTAAGGTATACATGTATTCAATCGATTCGAGTATGGTATCGTCATCAATATAATTTAGAACTTTTGCAAGCTGATTGTTTTGTTTGTTCACTATTAAGTATTATATCAATTAGTTTAATATGTATAGGATTAATTGGTTTAGAATATTTTTCAAATCGTCATCGTTTAGGTGTAACAAGATTATGGTTACAAATTGTTATCTCAATATTTTTATGTGTTATATTTTCAGTTTATTTTATAAATTTATTTGTAATTATTAAATCACAAATTATACCATGGTACCGATGGTGGAAATCAGCTCGTGTTGTTACTTTAGATAATTAAAAACAAACATAAAAATTTCAAGAATTGTATTAAAAGGGGAAAAAAAATATATACATATAAAAATAATTTGAAAAAGAATTACATTATAAAATTTTATTGAAATGAAGCCGCAATACTTACTCAAAATTAATATCACAGCTGATTTATGGGATATCCTAGCCAAAACAATAATTTAATGATTTAAAAAAATTAAATATTTGGTAAAAACAAACTATTTAACGTAATTTGTCAATTTTTTTAAATTATTTCTGACATTATGTATGTACCTACCCATATTTGCTCTCATTTAAACAATCTAGAGAGATTGAAATAGCTTTAAAAAAAATTTAAATTTTTAGAGGTTCTTCATAAATTAATTTTAACTTAAGAACGTATGTAACATATACATATTACCTATAAATACGTCTATATAACAGTTAATAAAAACAGTATATTAGAATTCTTACAACATAACATTCAAGTGAAATTTCATTTGAAATAGATTAGAAAATTAATATTACTGCAGATATTATAGGAATTGATTACGTATGTTGCAACAATTAGATAGAAACCAAACAAAATCGTAAGAAACGAAAAAAAATTATCCTGGAGGACTAATTTTCAAAATCTGCAAAAAAAGACGATAATAATCAACCTAAAAAATAGAGTGGTACTCCAAAAAAAGAAGAAAATTCTAGTTTTCATAATTTTCTCTTAAAAATTTTTATTGTCGCTGCATTTTTTGTTTGAGCGTCGTAATAATGACATGAGAAAACAAGTACCTTACAAATTTTTGAAGTTCTTAAAAAAATAACAACTGGAAAACAGTAACTCGTGCATAAAATCAAGTTATATATTTAAAGGTATATATATTTTATATAGGTTAAAATAGTATTTAAATAATATAACTAAGTACAAGGATATTATTAATTTTAAGTTAAAAGAATTAAATGCAATAAATTCTAAGATAATTTTTTCAATGCTACTACTAAATTTCTCCATTTTCTTTTTACTTAAAATATCGGTTCATTACTTAACATTAAAAAGGATTAATTTTATTTAGTGTGCACCTGTTTAAGTTTTTAATTCTCGTTTCTTTACTAAATTAGTAAGCTCAAACATTCCTTAATTTTTTCTCTTTTTTCAGTATATAAACATACATACATAATATATATATATAATGTACATATACGCTAATGATAACTCTATTACATCCTTTTGTAATCTTACCCAAATTAATTAAGAAACTGCTGTTTGGGTATTAAGATAAGTACTTATGTATGAATGAACCTACTGTCTTTGATAAAATTTTATTTAATATTAATATTACAACTTACCTATAACATCTGCATCTTTTGTAGATGTCTTAAACCATGAATCTTCACCATATTTGCCTAATTTATATTTAGATTGTAAAAAATCTTTTGGGAATCCACATACGACCGAAATAAAATGTGGTTTCGGCTTGCTATTTGGTTCGACAAGGGTTGAAAAACCACTGCGCAATGCCCTTGTTAATAATCGGGTGGTCCAACTTAAAGATTGCATTATATTTTTAACAAATTACAAAAGTGTATTAAAATATTTTTAAATGTTTGTAAAATAATTTTGATAGAATTCCTGTAAAATCGATTAAATTTTTGAGTCGAAAGAGGAATTTAGATTTTTTTTTTACGTCAAAATCACGAGAAAACTCATTTTTTTCGTTTTTTTCCTTTTTTTTTTTTATATTACGAAACGATCACATGCGGAACACAAGGTTTTTAAAAAAATTACACCAACAAATATTGATTTTTTTCAGTATTAACACAATCATATATATATATTTTTTTTCAAATAATTTTGCTTTAGATCAAAAATTATAATAAAATGTAATCCTCCATTAATAAGAAATAAAAAAAAATTAAAATGTCACTACGACGTTCTTTACCTTTGACATTCCTCTTTCGAATGTTGTTTCTTCTTTGAAAATATTGAAATGGAATCTTTGGAATAAAAAGTATTTTGAAATTTCCTATTAGATTGATTTTTGAAATTTGAAACAAATTTAGAATGAGATGGCTATAATAATGGTAATTTGATTTAAGTTTGAGTTTTCGAATATTGTACCAGCTGTTTGTGATTCTAATTTTTCTGTTGTTTTCATTTGTTTCGCGTTTCAAATTCAAAACAAAATTTCGATGAATTTTGTTGCGACTACCTTCTACGACTTGACTTCAATTTGCTTCCAGTTTTGGATATATTTTCTATATTTGTAGAATGTTAATAATTATGAAATAAATACAGAAAATAAAAAGATTATTTAATACTGAATATTAAATATTATATGAAAAAAGCAAACTTTGTGTTAGTGGTGATGCAGTTCTGAAAAATAAAATTTGCAATAAATTTCCAAGTAGAATCCTCTAAAATCTACATAGTACCTAATACATTTTACATTTTAGCTGGATAAATAATTTTAAAGTATTCGAGACATGAAAAATAAGTTTATTTTTTCGAATCACTAAATTGTACCACGTTATTTGCGTTACAATTACGTGTTCTCATCAGTAGTGAGTAGAGTACATAACCTCGAATAAATACGAAGATGATCTATGCAGTTACATTATTTTTCCGGTAGATTTCTGAATTACTCTATATAGATTTCTGAATTGCAATATGCTTTCGTATTTCTAAGTTAGAACTCAAATAACTTAGACAACAGAAAGACGCGGCTGCAAAAACTACAAATTTAACATTAGATTAAAAAAAGCTTTTAGTTATGAAAGTTCAAAAATTATCATATGTTTTTTTAATGTTGCAAAAATGGAACCACAAAATTAAATATTTTATTATTTCCAGTTCAATGAAATATAAATTTAAATATTTTATTAAAAACATAATTTAAAAGAAAATTATTCTAATAAATCGTGTAAATCCTACATTATTTTTCTTTTAAGTACAAAATAGTTTCAGCGCCAGTAAAATCAAAACTGAGCTGTTGCGCGCAAAATCCTGACATACAGTTGTGTGATCAAAACAAACTGCAATAATAGCACCGCGTTATCGTAAAAGTTTTTTTGACAGCACGTGCAGTTCTTTATTGTCGAACATAGGGCATTTTCAGTACTGGGTTAAAACGCAGTATGTCAACCATTGGAGTAGAACTTCAGAATTATTGAGAACAGCAACACTGAAATAAGTTGTAACTTTAATAAAAAAACCAAAATGAGAACTAAACTTAAAATTTGAATAACAATAGGAAATTTGTTCCGTTTCGAAAAATTTGAAACAAAATTGAAATATCAAATAATTAAATGGAAAAGGGAACTTTCTTGTCATTTGTCAACAACTGATACATTTTTCATTATAAAGAAAATAATAATAAATTAAATTTAATATTTCTAAAATTTTTTTAAAGAAAAATTATTTAAATATATTAGTTTTTGTAATATTATGGATAATGAATCTTCCTATAATTGTAGTTTTTTGTTCAGTAGTTTAGTAGACGATCACGATCCAGATTCTCAGGATAATACATATAATAAATCAGAAGCTAACAGCAATAGTAATAGCAATAGCTTAAATAATACATCCATTAACCCAGAGTCAAAAGCCCGTAAAAGACCACGAAATAATAATGATGGACATTCCGAAGGATTTAATCCAAAAAAATTTTTCCATACAGAACCAAAATATAATAAAGATGATGATTTTTATATATCACCGGCCGCCTTAAATGCAAATACTACACTTGAGGATGTTTTAATCACGAAAACAAATATATTTAATCAACCACCTGCAATAACTGAAATTAATGAACAATGTGAAATTTTTACAAATGATAGGGGCACAGTTAAATTATGCATCGACGGCTGTTTATATATAAAAAACATGAAGAGTGGTAGTACATGCTATTGGCAGTGTGTTCAAAAAAATTTACGAAATTGCCATGGATGTGCAGTTACTTATGCTGTTGGTGAAAAACATTATTTGAAACGTATTAGACGTGAACATACTCATGATCCTGTAGCTCTAAATACTAGAGGTAAAATTTTTTGTTTGCTTGCTTTATTTAGATCAAAGTAATTTTTTGTTTTGTAAATTAATTTTATGATCTTAAAAATTAAATACAACTCTACCTGAATTACCTTTAAAATAAAGAAGTATTTAGATATTTAGAAGTTTGAAATACATATATGTATTTCAAACAATATAAAAACAAGTTTATTTTAGGGCAAATAAATAGTAAATTTTTGTAATAGAAATATTATTTCAACAAAATAATTTTTTGTTTGTATATATTCCATTACATACAACTTACGAGTAGATGGCTACGAGCCAAGAAAATAATTCGATAAGTGAAAATTTTTTTTCCCCAATTTTATGTTTGTTAAAGTTAGGAAAATTTGAAATAACTGCTATGGCTTTGCATAATTTGAACTATATTTCCTTTTACATAAACTTATTGTAAATACTATAATAAAATTACAACATTTTTTTAAAGGATTTTCCCAAGTTTATCAAATGCAAATGAAAAACTTAAAAGAAAATTTAAGTGATTGTAGATTTACAAAAAATCGTTGGGGTAATCCAAAACTGGTTCTAGATGGTTATTTTTATGTTCGTCATAATAATGCTGGTGAATCGTTTTATTGGAAATGCGAACAAAGAGGACAATGCGAAGCCTGTGTTGTAACCCACAAAAATTTAGATGGAACGCATAAACTGGGACGTATCATAAAAGAACATACACATCAACCAAAAAATGAGAATGATATAAAAGAGTTAAGACTGTCTTATATACCTAAATTTTCTCAAAGTCATTTAGATCAAATAAACAAATCTGTCGACGGAGGAGAAAACAAATCAGACATTCCACATAAAAAAATTAATAAAACAAAAATTGGTCAAACAACAATCAAGCCTGTAGGTGGAGCAAAAGGAGTTGATGAGGGGGATTCTTCTTCTTCCATGTCATTGTACTCTTCTAATATGCCCAAATTATTAACATTAAAATCGTCCTGTGATCAAAATGACGAACAAATAGATTCTGACAACAGTCAGACAACATCACAATTTACAAAAAAGACCGAAAAAACTTTCAGTCGACAGAGCTCTATCACATCGATATCACAAAGTTCTGCAAAATCATCAATGACAGCTAACGACACGAATAATTTTACTGCAATCAAAACTAAAAAGAAAAGAAGAGCAAAATTGGAATTCAAAAAAATTGAATTTGGAGAAAAATGTGAATTTGTTTTTTTAATCGATGGTATATATAAAATGCTTTTAAATGGCTTCGCATATGAATTGGCAAAAGGTAGTGATGGAAAAAGTGCTGCCGTATGGAGATGTTCTGGACATAGTCGAATATTTGTTGAATGTAACGCTATAGCTGAAACTATTGTATGTGAAGGGGATCATTATTTAAAAGCAACAAAAGGACACCATAGTCATCCTCCCTGTGATGAAGATGTTGATGATAATGATGATGATGAAGATCTTGAAGCTGACTACAACGAACAAGAAGACAATTTCGACGAAGAAGATTATTCAATTGACCACGACTCGCCAGGTAGGGCAAATAATGATAAAATAACTAGCTTTAATCATTAAAATAACAATTCGATTTTTTTAAGACAATTTTGAACAAGAAGAAAACTTTAACTCCAGCACACAAATGTTTAGTGGTGCAGATGATGGAAAATGCGAGTTTATAATAACAAAAAGAGGTCTTCCGAAACTTACGAGAGAGGGTTACTATTATGTTCGGAATTCTGTAAATAAAAATCGCTCAGAAATAACTTATTGGAAATGCGAATTAAAAGGTTTTTTTATGTTACTATACGTCGTATATATTAACAAATTGTTCGAATTTTAGGCAAATGTACCGGAACATTGGTCACTTGCACGCAATCTGATGGATATTACGTGAAATCATCAAAAGGGCACAATCATCTGCCAGATCCACACAAATACACTGAACCCAGATTTGATAAACCAGATCAGGTTATTCAATATTTTACTGAAGCGGATTCTCAAAATAATGAAGATAGTTCTGATGAAATGTTGATCACTCCAGAAAATGAATCGAAATTCAAAATTTCTAATAATAAAAATGCAATTGCTCAAGATCCATTAGCAGAAGATCCGGAACAAAATGCTATTGTTAGTGTTAAGACTACAGCCAGATCCACAGATATTAAACTAGATTTGATAACCACAGCGCGCGGAATGCCAAAAATAGCTCGAAATGGATATTACTACTGTAAAAGTTCTGTTAACAAAAATCGTCAGGAAATTACGTATTGGAAATGTGAACTTAAAGGCCAATGTAAAGGTTTTCTTATATCTATTACAAAAAGTGATGGCTACTACTTTAAATCGGAACGCACACATTCTCATCCACCAGACCCAGATAAATATAGATCAATGCGCAAAAGTTCATTTGAAGAATTAAACAATTCATTCGGAACCTCTTTCGTCCCAAAAATAAATTCAGTTAAACGAGAGAATTATGGTGAAAAATCCAATGTAATTTCTAAGCAAATGTTTAATCCCAGCATGGCAAAAAGTGCAAGTAGTTCTGCAAATTCTGGAAATTCTCATAACAGAATGAATCCATATCAGCAAATACATCGTTTTAAGGAGGAAATGTATCCAGAAGAAGTGAATAGTCGAAGTTTTGAAAATTTCTCTAACAATGATTTTGATAACAGAAAAGTGAATCGAAATGGACAAGAAGAATTGCCACTAATTCCTGAAGATGGAGATCCAAATATGACATATGAATGTGAATTTATAATATCGTGCCAAGGAAATCCAAAACTTTGCTTAAACGGTTATATGTACACAAAAAATCGTGACAAAAACACAAACTTTTATTGGAATTGCGAAATTAAAAAATCCCGTCATTGTATGGGATATTGTGTTACAGAAGTCAGAAACGGTAGCTTTAATTTTTATGTTTTTTACTTTTTTTTTTTATTTTTTTTACTTTTAGGAAAACATATTGTTAAGAAAATTCGTGCTCATAATCACGAAGCCGATTTGCGACGTGAAATGCTATCTAAAAAGTTGAGTAATATCCTCCAAAAGGTCTACGCAAAGCCATTATGGAACCCACGTAAAATAATCGATTATGAATTGTCAAAATTACCAGAAGATATAAGACGTCAATTACCTAAGGCATATTCGATTCAACGTATGGTTAAGCGCAAAGTACAAGAAAAAGTATCAACTGTACGTCAAAGTTTATTAAATGGTGAATATGCACCAATTCCAAATATGGAACCATCAACGTCTAAACAACCACAATCACAACAACATAATAGAAATATAAGAACTTCAGTTCAAACACAACAACGGCATCCTCAATATAGAAATCCATACTCGGGCCGTTTCGAATCTGCACCTCAAGTATATAATGATGAATATAATTTTAATAATTTATACAACTCGAATAATAGATCAAATTCATCAAATAATTATTATCAACGTGATATGGAAAAAAATGATGTACATGAAGAATATGATCAACACGGTGGTTATAATGATAATCAAATGGACATGGGTTATAATGATCCAAGTGGTTTTCGATCATCAAGTAATTTCAATGAAGATCATGAACATTTTGGAAATGATGATGTCTATAATTGTGAAATTAAAAATGAACCCATTGATGACTACGGATATCAGAATTATGAAGGGGAATTTGATGAACAAATGGATTTATCTTATGATAATAATACTGGGTATCACGAAAGTATGGATGCAGCTGATTCATGGAATGATGGTAGTGCCTTTGATAATTCGTATATAAACGATGAGGCTTATGATGATAATTATGAAAATTATGATGACGGTAATTTTAATGATGATTAATATTTATGATCCAAAAAAGATTTTATTAAAAATTTTTTCCCTATTTAGGAAATCGCCCAACAACTACAGCAACAGCAACATCTTATAATTCAAATGCCGAAAGTTCAAATAGTTCAGAAAGTAGTACACATTCTAAAAACTCGGAAGAATATCATAGCAAACAAGAAAATGAACAAGAAGAAGAGGAACAAAAGAAAGAATCATTGAATTCACAAAGTGAGACACAAAATTCAACCACAAACTCTACAAATCCAGTTGTTTATAAAAAAAATCAAATAGCTAAAAAGCGTATTAGAGCACCAGATATAATTAATAATTAAATACTACTAAAAATAATATATAAATGAAAAACAAAATTAACAATCACGCATCTCTCTGACATAAAATAATAAGAAAGTTAATTAAGATTATTTAGTTTAGCATAACAATAATAATTATAACACAAAAACAAAAAAAAAAACAGAACAAAAAAAGCATAATATGTATTTAAAGATAACCACTTTAAATACATAAATAATATTAAACATATAGATTGACTCAATCCAATGTAGTTGTCGGGGGAGGGTAATTTTCCTAAAATAAAGGAAAAGTAGTAAAAAAACCTTATTTATAATTTGTATTTATGTCAGGAAATCAACAATAAATATACTAAATAAATTTCAGATATTTGGATTAATATGAACATCAATGCTATCCTTTTTTTTTATAATTTTTATTTTTAGAACAACCTTATAAAGTATTATTTATAATTTTACACAGAAATTCGTACATTATTATACACACATTTTATTACACAATTAATATTTATTAGAGAATAATTTAGTTTTTTATAATCAAATCATTTGAATATATCATTAAAATGTATTGAAAATTTTTATTTCATATTATTATATAATTGAAAAAATTAAGAAAAAAATTACATTATATTATATACATATTTACATAGCAAAAAGTGAAATTATATATCGATATTAAAATATTAACATTTCATTTTAGCTGTACATCATAATTATTATTTTAATGCTTTTATTGCAAAAGATATTTTTAATTTTTATTAATAAACGTAATAGTTAAAAATCTTTAGTATGTCCTTTTTTTACTGCAAATTCAAGTTCACATGAATTAAAAATATTATAATCAATACTAGAAAATTGGAATTTCGTTTTTACATGATGGTCCTAACTAGTTTCTGATTAGGTAAACGAGGTATAGTTTTTCTAATGGAAGATTTTATAAACAAATAAAACAATGCAACATTTAAGCCATATAAATCATATAAACAAATTAATATAATAAGGATGAATTCCAAAAAAAAATAACTTTTTATGATTCAATGTTACGATTCAACAAAATTCGATCTTAAACCTAATCCTCTGATCTCAACATACACACATATACTTATATATGTTTTGCACTTTTTTTAAGAACAGTGAACTTTTCCTGAAAACTTTTGCGTATCTGACATTTTTGTTTATTTGGTGGGACGAAATTTTGGAAGTATCACATACGTATTCGTATAATGTATCTTTCAAATGTGAAGAATGCTTTTCGTATCATGTTCATATCTTATTTTTTCCAGAAAGTATAGAAAATTCAGTTAACTTTCAATCATTTTATTGAGGAAACGAGTTTATATTTTCTAAAATAAGATGAAAAATATAATTGAAAAATGGGTAATCTTATTTGACAAGTAACATATTGAAATGAAATTAAAATTCTGATTTGGAAGAGGATTGAAAAAGTGAGACATAGAATGATGCTTTTAAGTTAATAGTTAGACTTCATTCATGTTCACTAATTTTAGTTAGTTTATATGATAATAGAAATACTTTCGGGTCCAATAAACTGGTAATTTATAAATTATTTCTTAAATTCCGATTATTTAAAACGAAAAAAATTCACATTATGCTTTTCCAAAATTTTTCTTTGTAAATTAATTTTCGTTTCAAACTTTCTCTATAAAAAATCTATAAATCAAAAATCTATAAACCAACTTTTTAACTAAAATGGTTTTTCAACTAAAAACAGAATTTATTTTCTTAAATAATTTTTATTTCTTACAAATATCAAACCTATCTATGGTTTTGTTGTTTTTAAATATTATGGATTCCTTCATTATTGTATATAACACTCTAACAATTCCAATTGTAAATTGATTGAAATCTTATAAAAGCAATTTCGGGAGGAAAAAATATTCTGTCTATATGTATTTGAAATTTAATTTTTTCCCCCAGCCTTTTTCTTTTCACGAGCTTTCTTTCCTTCGGTTAATTCGTTTCTTTCGCTTTCGTTCAATTGAGGCAAAATTTTGGTTACGACACCAGTCCCCAAAGTTAAATTACCGTCTCTTAACGTAAATCTTTGTCCCATTTCCAAAACCATTGGTCTAATTAGTTTTAATATTAGTTTTGTATCTTCCCCTGGCATAACCATATCTTTTCCCGGAATATTAACTTGGCTTGCACAATCCCAAGTTCGGGAAAACATTTGTAATTGAATAAAGTTCATGAATGCCTTGTGACGACCTCCCTCTTCTTTACTTAAAATATAAACTTGAGCTTCAACTTGATCATGAGCTTTAATTGATCCTGGTTTACACATAACCATCCCTCTCTTGATATCGTCACGCTTAACACCCCGAACTAATGCTCCGAGTTGATCACCAGCTTGAGCTTCTTCCAAGATTTGATGGAACATTTCAACTCCTGTTACTGTTGATTTTAATACTTTGTTATAGCCAACAAATTCACAATCCATGCCTTTTTTAACTACTCCTCTTTCTAAACGACCTGTTACAACTGTACCACGTCCAGGTATACTGTAAACATTTTCGACTGGCAATAAAAATGGTTTATCTAATTCTCGAATAGGTGTTGGGATATGTTTATCAACTTCATCTAATAGCTTCAAAATAGCATCTGCCCCAATTTCTTGATTTTTACCTATTATAAACACAGAAAAATGTTTAAGTCCTTAAAAATTTTTACCTATATGGCTTTTAAATTACCTTCAAGGGCACACAAAGCAGATCCCTTAATTATTGGAATATTATCACCATCATAGCCCATTTCAGATAACAATTCACGTATTTCGATTTCAACTAAATCTACCATTTCTTGGTCTGCTGCATCGACTTTATTGATAAAAACAATTATATGATTAATTCCAATTTGCTTAGCTAATAGTAAATGTTCTCTTGTTTGAGGCATAGCACCATCTGTTGCTGCAACGACTAGGATAGCTCCATCCATCTGCGCTGTCCCAGTTATCATGTTTTTTATGTAATCCGCATGTCCAGGGCAATCAGTATGTCCATAATGCCTTTTCTCTGTTTGATATTCTACGTGAGCGACATTAATTGTTATACCTCGAGCTTTTTCTTCCGGTGCATTGTCAATTTCACTATATTTTTTACTCTCTGCTAGTTTCTTGTCAGCTAAAACTTTGGTTATGGCTGCAGTCAGCGTAGTTTTTCCATGATCCACATGGCCGATGGTACCTTAAACAAAAATTTTGTTTCAATGTTTTTTAATTCCTTCAAATCATGTAACTAATCATACCAACATTTACATGTTCTTTTGTCCTTTCAAAAACTTTTTTTTCAGTTGCATAGTCTCTATATAAACCCCAACGTTGAGGTTCGACTTGTGAATACCTTAATATGGCATAATTACTTCGCACAAGTGCTGATCGTATTACATTACTAGGCACTGTACGGAAAATTGCCGCACATAAAGACATTATATTTTTTGATTATTTCTTGATAAAGACTGTGAAAACACTTATGAAATTTTTAAAAAATTATTTCAACAAAAGTTTGGTTAATTTAAAGTTAAATCATAACTTTTAATACAACCAGAGCCGAAATGAGAAAAGAGAAAATTTTTTGACATTTACTGTCAAAAACCATATTACATATTAAAGGCAATTCGTTTTATGAAAAATGAATATATGTATGTATGTCTCACGGCTGACAGAAATTTCTGTACCGCAAAAAATATTGCTGTCATCCGTAATATGTACGCAGTACATTATGTACCTCGGTTAAAGACTCATAAGCAGTGTTGTTACTTTTACTACAATTGTACTTTTTTACTACATGCTGGTATTCTATACTACTGTAATAGAATATGTCATTAGTATTCGAAAATAGAAATGTCAATAGAATTGTTGTTATTACAAAAGCCACTTGCACAACAAAAAATTTAAATTTAGTTCTTTTTATTAACTTATTAAATTTAGAGCCAGTTTAGGGTAACGTTTTAATTACCACAAAAAAAACGTCTAACATTGAAATTTCATATTACTAAAAGATAGCGTCGAAATTAATTTTTAACAATATTAATGAAAACTCGCGGTTGTCATTTTTAATATGCAGTATAAACGCGAAATTTTGAAAGCGGGTATATTAAAGATCTATGTTTATTGAAAATTGTTTTGATTATAATTCCATGAAATCACAAAAAACATTGAAAATTATTCTCCAAAAGAATTTTATATAGTTAAACTTTTACTTCGTGTTTTTGCCGTACTACTTTTTTTTGATGCTACTGAAAAACTGGTTGAAAATAAAACTACATATGTCTGTTTTTGTCTGGCATAAGAAAGTTTTTAAAACTTTATAAAACTTGAAACAAAAAGTTTTTAAAAATAAAAAATTAGTTTTACGTAATGAAATAAAGTTAAAAAATATTTTAATAAGTGACTTGCATTTTTATTACAAAATTATGAAAACCATATGAGAAATAAATAAAGTTATATCATACCATTGTTTTTATAAACCATTCCCTTCAACGAGTGAAAATACATTGTTAAAATTACCTTCATTCATATACTGAAATTATTTCAAGGACTGCATACAATTAGGCTAAGGAAACAAAAATTGAAAAAGCGTTAGCATAATGCTCGAATTTAAGAGTTGATTGCGTGAATAAAAAAAAATTTTTTGGTGATATGGCATCAACCGTTAGCTTTCTGAATTCATAGAAATTGGGAAAAGCTGCTAAAATTTCAGACTCGCACAACCTGCGGTCTAGAATAAACACGATATCAAAAGTTTGTGAAAAACGGATTTTAGATAACGGTAAATTTTTGATCTTTTAAAGTTCATGTTGCGGTGTAAAAAGCCAATCACTACTTTTTTGTGTTCGTAAACTTAAGCTGCAATAAATAGTTGAAGAATGGGATTTTTAGGGTTTTGGATAGTTAAAACTTAGTAAATAGGTAAAAATTTTTTTCACGGAAATAAGTTTCGTATGTATGCAATTTCAGCTCTCTATCTTCAAGAGCGTAGCAGAGGGGATGGACAGACAGAGTGAAACTAATAAATAAGTTTTTTCAAAATTTTTTCAGAAAAATGCTAAAAAATTGATGAATTCTCAAAAAAATTTAGAAAAAAGAAATAGATTCTAAGAGATTATTGACTTCACTGTTGTAAGACCATGTAAGAAAATAACAATATCTTCATTGGCGAGCAGTTACACTGTTTATCAACTGTTATTCATGTCAAGACTTGTATAACTGTCAGCTGTGAAGTAAATAAACGAACAAACTGTGTGAATTTTATTTCGACCCTGTTTAGTTACTTCTGACATGTACTCGAATTATAAGTAATTTTTGACAATTGGAATTGGAAAATGTCTAATGTCTTTACATGACAAATACTACATTTTATTTTAAACTTTATTAGCCGTCGCCATTGTGGTTTATATTGAGTGGTTTCTTTTTCAAAATTGTTTTTTTTTTTAAAAAGTGATATCACAAGAAGTTCAAATCAATTTAAATTTTTAAAATTTAATTTAATTCATTATTTGAAAATTAAGAATGTGTTTGTATTACTTTATATTTGAGAAAAGTATTAAATAAAATTAAAATCAAAATGGAAACTAGAAAGAAGAAAAAAATCGATTATAGTGAAATGCTTGGTGCAGAAGAAGATTATTATGGACCTGAAAAAATTTTATCGGCAAATATTAAAGCGAGAAAACGGAGAAATGATAGTCTAAATAACAATTCCAAACCAAGTAAAAGTGCAAAGAAAGATATGAGATTTTATGAAAACGATACAACAGCTAATTGGGAAGAAGTTGTTGTAAAAGAAGAAATGGTGAATTCAGATTCTGATGACCTGCAGTCGGAAGATGAAGATATAGAAAAACAAATGGAAGATGCTTCAAATTATTTAGAAACATGCGATGATTTTATTCCAAAAAAAATGATATCAAAAAAATTTTATTCTGAAGATATCAAGCTTCCATTAGATCTCTATTTATCACAAAACTCAAAAGTAGGGGATAAATGTAATTTCATTAATTACGTTCATGGGTATTTGAAAATATTACTTAATGGTTACGTATACTTTTGCAATAGAGTGGTTGATAATATATTTTACTGGCAATGTGATCAAAATAAAGATTGTATAAGTCAGGCAGTTACGATGTATAATGATGGTAAACATTCCATTAAAAGTTTAGACGAGCATAGCCATTCGCCGGAAGTAAGTGGGAACTGTTGTTTGAAAGATTCCTCTATTGCAATGTATTTACCAATGGGAATCAAACAAAGTTCTTTTGAAATGGGTGACGTAAAAAAAAATCGATACTTAGTTAGAAATGGATATTTTTACGTCAGGAAGAAAACAGAAGATGATATTGACTTTTGGGTATGTGAGCATTATAAATCTGAAGGATGTAAAGGTGGAATATTAACAATAAAAAATGAAGGACAATATTATGTAAAGTACGCTAATGAACATAATCATGTTAATGATTTAAAAAGACAATATAAATGTATTGAAAAAGAGGATGAACTACCAATGTGTAATATTGAAACATATTTCCCCTGTGTTGAAAAGCAAGAAAACGACCATGAAGATTCCGCCTTAAATAATGATGCCAACGATTCTGATGGAGCCAATTATAATGGCGATAGTGATCCAAATGATCCAGATTATGATCTAGAAAGTAATCCAGGGGTTGAAGATAACGGTATTTTTATTAAAAAAGAAAATTATTCAGATGAAGATGATATTATTGAGAGTGAATTAGATGAAAGCAAAGGTGAAACCACAGAAATTGTGTGCGATTTTATAAATTCACAACGTGGTAATCCTAAGTTATGTATTAATGGTTATATGTATACTTTGAATAGAAAGACTAAAAGTAGTTATTGGACTTGTGAATTCAAAAAGAAAAAAAGCATTGACTGTAAAGCTATGGCTTGCACAATTGAGAGAGAAGATGGTAAGTGAAACCAATAAAACAAGAAGTGTTATAATAGATTAAGATTTAATTTTGTTTCACGTTCATAGGTAAACATGTCGTGCAAAAAATGACGGATCACAATCACCCTCCACGAACTGATCGGAAAACTATTGGTCAAATTCTTAATAGGATACGCGAAAAATGTATTGAAAGGACTGATTTAACAGCTAGTGAAGTTGTGGAAAGTGAAACAGGAGCTTTACCTGTAGAGTTACTTGAAGCTTTGCCATCTCGTAGTGCAATATATAGAATGATTTCACGGAAGCGGCGTTTAGAAGAAGCTGCTCTTGGAGGTTCTAAAATATATGAACGTAAAGAGTTGAAAAAGTTAAAATGTGATCTTGATATAGAGACCAGTTTTGAAGTCAAAGACACAATAGTTTGTAAAACAGTGGAGTCGAGCCGTGGAAACAATAAATTAATAGTAGATGATTATTTGTTTAATCTTAGTCGGGTTGCCGGAAATAATCATTACTGGAGATGTGAACAAAGAGTTTCGCAAAAATGTGTTGGATTTGCTATAACAAACTGTAACAATGGGGTCCATTATTTAAAGAATATAAGAGAACATAATCACGAATCTCAGAAAAATCGTAAATTTGTCGTTCAAGCAATGAATACCATTAAAGAAAGGGCTCTCAAAACTGATGAAGATGCTATTTTAATTGTAGAAGATGCCCTAAAGGATATATCGGAAGAAGTTTTAAGAGAATTGCCTACTAAAGAAACTTTAATTCGAAAAGTTAATCGAACACGGTATTTATATAAGCCCAAACCAGCAACTGATGAACATTCTAATAAAGATGATGCGGGTGATGAAAAGTCACATATTTATGAAATTAGTGTAGAATTGGGAACACCATGTCAATTATTTTCTCCAACGAATAAGGGTAACTTTAAACTTAATTTGGATGGTTATTTTTACCACAAAAATCGTATTAATAATGAAATGCATTATTGGCAATGTGAAGATAATAAGCACTATAAGTGTAAAGGAGTTGCGACAACTGTATGCACAGATAATGGTCAACATATTTTAAAAAAAGCTAGAAAACATAATCATCCCCCCAAGCAATCCAGACAAGATATTGCACAGATAATACAAAAAATTAAGGAAAAAGCTAAAACAACTAATGAAGATTCTTCCTTAATTTATAATGATGAGGTGGAACATTTACCAGATGAAATAAAGAATTTATTACCACAACGTTGTTCAATATTAAGCATGATAAATCGTATTAGAAAACAAAATTGTGACGGAGAAGATAAAAAGGAACCAATAAAATATGATGATGAATATGAACACATATTTGAAATAAAACAATCACCGGATACAGAGTGTGAATTTGTTGAATCGAAGAGAGGTTTCGAAAAGTTAACTATTGAAGGTGAGTAATTTTATTTTATCTTTTCTTTAAAATAAATATCAATATTGATAGTAGATTATTTAAATGCGGTGTGAAATAATATTATTAATTAATATTGTTTTGAAATCATAGAACCAGAAAAGTATTACAAAAAAATATTTATTATATTAAAGTATTGATGAATTGTTACAAAAATCCATCTTTTGAATCTTAGTAATAACGCCCGTAATATTCTGCGCAAGAGTAAGGCTTATCCTTACATTTTCCGCATAAACTTTTTATATGTTCTTTTCTTGGGTCAGATTTATTTAAACCTTCGGGTTTTTCCAGAGGTCTCTGATCATAAGGCAATACTGGTATTTTGCAGCTCTTACATTCTTGAGATGTATTTGCCCATGTATAAGCAGACATCCAACGTCTATGACATCTTTTACATTCGAAAGCACCAAATTTTCGTTTATCCATTAGTCCTAAAAATTATGATAATGAATATAAAACCACCTTCTATTTCTGTATATAAATATAACCTTTAAAAATTTTTTTATATTTACTAATCAGAACAATATTTTACTGATTAACTGTTCTTTTAATAGTATGTATCTACTACCCGACGTTCAACAATAAACTGATTTAATTTTTAATTATAGCAATAAATTTATAGCAATCTTATAATCAAAGTAAAATTCAGTTTTAGACCAATAGTTTTTCGCAATAAAGGAGGTGCTTTAATTTTTCCATTATTCAGTCATATATTTTGCTTCAATTTGTTAAAATAAAATAGAAATCGATATTATAATTATAAAATCGTTTATGATTACTTTTGTCAAAAGAAAAGAACTGATTTTAATAATTGTTATTATATAGGAGGTATTCATTTATTCAGTTCTGGAATAGTACTAGCTTGTAATACATTCGAAAATTCACGCTACATACACTGAAAATATAGATCGTTCGGAAATTACTGGCTGCAATAAAGTGCGTTCGAAAATTCAATCTGCAATAAAAAAATGTTAGAAATGTATCTCTAGTATAAATTTTGTCGTGGCCTCATGAAATTTCTTTTTTTTAATTTAAAATTAAAAAAAAAAATTTAAATTTAAAAATGGCCGATTCAGATATTGAAGGGTCATTAAAGTAAGTTTTCTTTAAGTCTTCAAATCTTGTTAAAATTTCCTTATTTTGCAGTGAATTGGGAGGCGAAAAATATTGGGATACGATTTCATAAAAAATGTCATTTCTGTTGTTTTCGAACGATTGATTTTTAAGAAGTTTCAGAATTTGTAGACTGCGTAAACAAAAAAACTTAGCTAAAGTTTTTGCTTACTGTTAAACGTTGCGACTCAGAAATTTTAGTTCCAATGTAGAATTTTCAGCGCAGCGTGGTTATATGAAAACCCCATACTTCAGTCAAGTTACATTACAAGTTTTCCGTGTAAAGTCAAATTGTCTTTTATTGTTTCAAATTTTTCAAATCAAATCAACTTTTTCCCTGAGTTATTCATCCAATTTACTTGAATTAGATAAAACAAATCTAAACAAAACGTGATTGGCTTTTTATACTGAACTTATATTAGTTTTTACATCACTAACTAGTAATTTTTCAGCACAATCTTATTAATATTAAAATATAATTTAATTTCCTTCATTTTGCATTTTTCATATTTTTTGCTTATACATGAAAACAAAGGGGGAACCCTTTTTAAGTGCATAAAAAGAAAGTAAGCAATTTCGTTATCGAATCTAAACACTTATCGTTCTTGAATGAAATATAATACATACTTAAATAAATAAGAGAAGGAACTCTGTTTGAAATTTTAAAATAAATTCGCAATATTTGTAAATAAAATTTTTTTAGGATAAATGAAAAATGTGAAGTTTTTTCAATCTCTTTTGAGGAAATGGTTGAACTCAGTTTTTAATCAATAGTAATCTAATCTATTTAAAAATGAAAAGTAGTTTTCATATAAAAACGTAAAATTTTGTAAACATCTAAAAGCTAAGCCAAAACATCTCATTAGTAAAAATATATAAAATTATACCCAATTTTCTTTTTTTATAAATTCCTGTTTAATATTTTCGCTATAACTCTGGAAGAACTTATAATATTAAAATATCCTATATATGTGCTGATACTAATGCACTACTTAATCTAACTCTGATTAAAAGTAAAACTCTGAGAAGTAAAATTACAAACCACAATCGAACGGTTTCCGAGAATTTACAAAAGTTTGCATTTGAATAATGGTTTAATCTTGTAATATGAGATGTATTAAATTGAAAAATATTTTGGTAGAAAGAAATTTTTTGATTATCACAATTGTTTCTACAAAAACTATTTTAAATTAGAGAAATTTTTGTAATTTTTGCATTTCAAACAAAAAATAGCAACTTATTTTACAAAAACACTTCTTTTTATATTTGCACGCATAAGTTTTTGCTCTTAAAGTACTTTACAATATTTTCTGAAAATTCTTCTTCTCTTGAATTGTAATGTTTGAGTTTTCTTTGGTACTGGAAGTAACTGACAAACTTTTCAGGGAATTCTGTTAGCATCTTGGCTAAAGTAGACAATGGATCTTGCGTTCGGCTATATGCTGATCACATCAGATTTTTGTACTTAATATTGGATTTATTGCAAGTATGAACATATATGGCAGAACCGTAATATTAATTTTATAAGAACTGAACTTTTGCAAAATTTTTGCATTTTGTACAGTTTATTACTTTTATAAGCAAATTTTCAAATAATTTTAATTTTTTTGTATAAATAAACATTAGAAAATATTTCGTATAAGTACTTTAATCATTGATGTTCTTATATTGTTTATTTTTTTTTTATAGATATGCTTATTATGAATTAGATAATTTACATATATACATAGTTAACATATAGTACTGTGTTCAGTTTCAATAGTTAATCATGTGTTGCTACATATGTATGTATTCTGTTGGATGCTGTTAGTGGCTCATGAAATCAGATTTCAGCGCATGACGATATAAAATCGAATTGTAAGAACAATTTGCAAAGTTATCTCTATTTAGATTTCGAAGGAAGGCTGTTCTTACTTATCACTTTATCCATAAAAACTTTAGAATGCATAATTATACTGGAAAAATTTAGAAAAAATTTTATCTATATTTTTTTATATAAAAGTTATGAAATTATTCATAAAATTTTCAATAAACAGTAATAAGTTTTGTGATTATTCAAACAGAAATCGAAAAAATATTTTCCTCTACACGAGGATAAAACCACAATTTTTTCAAAAATTAAATAGCAGTATGTTAAAAGTAACGTTTCACAAAATAAAGTTGTAAGTAACCTACATTCATCTACGTAAAATTTCCAATTTATTGGACTATAGTGTGAAATCACACAGTTGAAGTGTTTTTTTTGTCTCTGGACCTGGAGTCGTAAAAACATACTTAAAATATAACAAATTTAAAAATCCAATTTCTAGGGAATTAAATTCGTTGTTTCTCTAAGTTCTAAATAGGATTAATTTATGAACATACTTACTTATTGAAAGAGTTGAAACTCACATTTCATATTTCAGTTATAAACGTTGCATAGTTTATGTCTAGTGGTTCTTAAAATGGTTTATTCTTTTCATATTTATTTCAAAAGTAGCTGTTTCGAAAAGTTATGTATTTAATACTTATCTTAATTACAAATTCTGCAACTAATTATAATGAGCATATTTGAAAAATTTTCAAGAATACGTTTTATATCATACAAAAGTATGTATATATATGTATGTACATATTTTTGCATTTTTATAATTTATATCGCATTTTGAATATTATGGTGTTACAACATTGTTTGTTTGGTATTTGTGCTGAGTTTACGTTTGTTATTATTTATGAGTCACAATGAAGTTTATCTGATCAAGATAAAATTTTTAATTTTTAATATTTGTTTTGTAGATTTTCAATCGTTTCTTTAAAAACAAAAACATTTCTTTAATCTACTATCAATTTCTAGGTTTTCTTTATTTTATATTATACATACATATTTTTAAATATTAATTTTTAGGACGTTTTCAAAAGAGAAAATTTTAAATTAACGAAAAACGTTCTTAAATAATGTAGTTAAACTAATTTTTTTTATTTCTTTCATATACATATCCATTATATGTACATATTAAGTTTACATATTTCACGAAATTTTGTAATATATTGCTAGCAAATTAAAAGAAAAGTATTTGTAAAATTGGTGAAAATAAAAAAGTTGGAGTTGTACTTTTAACGCAAATCACGATGTTCTAGAATTTAGATAAATACATAAATATATGTATATGTAGTTATACAAATACTTAATTGTATTAAAATGTCAAAGGGAATTATTTTAACATTAAATACTGATATTGGAATTAGATTGCGATTCTCAATAAATTATGTATTTGTTATTGTAAATAGCTATTAATTCTCATTTATTTATTTTCTAAAATTATTACATTCTACTTTAATATCATAATTAAAAATAAAATTTACAATCATTATACAAAAAGATGTGGAGTGTAGAGCAAAATATAAAATTAGTTTTAAAAACATTCTTATTGTTTCTCCCATGAGCACAAAACTAAAAATGCTCATAGAAAAACTTTAGATAGAATGAATTGATTTTTAATTTAACATTAATATTTTAATTATGATCTGATAATTTCCTCTTTGTTATTTTTTTTTAAATTTCTAATTTAAAATTATGTATTTGTGTTTATAATTTTTCGACCTATATCTCGATTAAATATAAAGCATTACTTGCTATTACATATACGATAGAATCTATGATTTAATCTGAGTATGATAAAATTCGTATATGTAAACCCTGTATGGCAATTGTCGGTAAACTTTTGCAGGTTATGGTCAAATATGTACTATGTGACTATGAGTATGGGCAATTCGTGTTTCTTACATTAACCCACTTACAAGAAGAAATGACATTTTCAACTGACTTTATTAATTGTTTTGTTTTGACCAATAATAAATTTGTATGGATAATAATTTGTTATGTACTCATA